GTCCGGCGGGGCCGGCGGAGCCGGCGGAGCCGGCGGAACCGGCGGAGCCGGCGGAGCCGGCGGAACGATCCGGACGGGACCGAAACCATGTGTACCGCCAGCGCTAACGCTGGTGGTACAATGACTACAAACATCACCTACACAGCATGTCAATTAATTTAGTCTGAAAATCTATACTGGAATACATGTATATGTCATTAAATCATCTTTGTGTGAAGGAAATATCCTTCAGGAAGGCAGCTACTCCATCAAATTATGCAACATGGGGCAGTGTTTGTCTTAAACTGGAGCAGCAGTCCATTATAATCAATATACTCATAGTTAAAACCTTTTAAATTGGTAAATTAATTGCCCTTCCTCTACACTCCTTTCTCTTACAAATGTACCCCTACCCCAAATACCTAATGTCTCCATTATCAATGCCCACATACAGGTACATTATCAGGAACTATGGAAACCTTTTTACTTCAATACAGCTAGAATGTACTGTACCAAAAAACTGCCATAGTTCCAATTTGGATCATCAGAACAATTAATATTGAACAGACCTAAGAATTTGGACCCTTGAATTACATAATATGAGGAGAAGATTGATGTCCAGACACAGAAATATACTAATCACTATAAATTAACTATGACAGGAGAAATGAACATGGTATATTAGCTGGTATGAGTAGTTAAGTCACTAGAGTATACTGTTAAATGAACATCATCTATTTCTTAATCTGCCATACTGCAGTAATAATTTGTTCTAAATGTATGGTCTTGTTTTGTTCTGTGCTAACATGATTATAAATAAGTTTTTACCAAAATAATGTACTATCAAAGTATGCACAAGCTGTTACGGTTTCATTAATATATCTTGCCTTTTATTCCTTTTAAAGTTTGTTTCAGAGGCTCTCTCCATAATTTGCAATGGCAGAGACAAAGTGAACATCCTTTCAGCCATGTAGTAGCTCCAAAATTCAACAACTATTTTTGGGCAGGATTTGTGTGTACTGTACATTTGTTGCAAACATGTTTTGCGATAACAAGATGTGTGCATGTATATCCTTTTACCAGGATGTTCATTAATCCTTTTTCAATTATTGTAGAATTAAAAAGAACGCTGTTGAAGAGTAACTGCAAAAGGTTTAAAAAGCAATTCAGAAATCCTTACAGTATTTTTTCTCATAACATTTATCATTGCAAACAATCTAATTGTTATTATATTACTTTGGAAAACATCTGCATGGAAAAACGTTGTTTATATACAGACAGAGAAAAAATATATAACAATTCAAAAAATCAAAGACAATCCAGTCAAGTTTCCTTCTGACTGTGTGTTCAGACAAGGTCCAACTTAAATAGCACTTGGTCAAACTGGCGTCCCAACAAATGATCATATTTGAGAACCACTTCCGAGTCCTAGAAATCTGAATGCAAATTCTTTGTTAACCAATAGTCTTATCTGGAGACATCACTTGGACTATTACCAGTTCAAGTACGGCATGGTGTAAACGCGCCTTTTGACAAATGGTGACTGGGGTAATAACATGATTGTAGGTAATTTTTAATCTTCAAAAATTTGCTCTGTTTCATCAACATATGAGAAAATAATTTCATGGGTTCTGTAGTTAGTTGTACAGATGAAAATATTCACTGTTGAGAAAGTACTTTCTTGACAGTCCTTTTGATGATTTCTACTTTTCATGTAGACATTGTTAGTAATCAGCAAAAATCACTGACAGTTGGGAGCAAGTCTTGGTAAAAACTAGACAAAACCTTCATCAGGATGTCAAAAAATTATCTATCTAAACAATGAATATTTTTTCAGCAAAACATCATCAAATTTGCCATAATTATCCTAAATTGTACCGAACATGCAGGCAATATATATGAGCTTGGCATATAGACTACATGTAAAAGAAAACAAAGAAAGAGTGATTAATTCACCACATGTAATAAAAGTGACTATCACATCTCAGATATCCAACGGCATAGCATGACTGCGACTGCCTGACTACCTAAATATGACTGCAACTTATGGACTGAGGTGAAGTTTGAATTTCCATCCTTGGTCATATGCCATGTTTTGGGCAATCCTGAAATATTTGTAGCATCAAACAGAAAACAGTTCTGTATAATTACATTATATTACACAGAGCTGTCAAATGTCATTTATTCATTCTTTGTTTGTAATCATCATTTAATCACTTAATTGTTAATTTATCAAGGTTTAAACTGTGCCCATCTCTTTACCAGCTGCCATTCAATGTTTAACAGCTGAAAAATTGTGCTTTGCAATTGCAATACTATGAATTACCTTTCATAATGCAATTATTAGATGTCATCATGAGTAAAACAATTTTATTTCTGATACTATTTATTTCTGTATCAGTTACTGTACTTAATTATGATTAACATGTTTTCGTTTGGCACTGATGTCAGTAAAACATGAAACATCTTAAATAAGGTCAAGATATAATACAGTATTAGTTGAAGTTCATGTGATAAAGAATCAAAGCTTGCGACATGAATTAAACATGATTATTTTGACTTTTTATGGCTGCATTGAACACTGAATAAATTTGGGGCTTTGATAAAAAGAAATGCATTCCCAGGCAGAAAGCAATTTGAAAGTATTCCAGCAAACACAAAATGACAACGTACAGTAACTTATAATGGTTACATTAAAACAAAACAATGTAACTTCAGAGATTAACCTGCTTTGAAAACACTGATACCACTAGAGAATGGGGCACAAAATATTTTATATTATTTATAATTGTTCAGACACTCTTGAGTTTATGATAGACACAATCTTAGAGCAGGAAGAGATGCCTCTGCTACAGTACAGTACCTTATCACAGAATGCATCCATGAAACCACCCAAAATTGGGTCGTCAACAGGACCATAGTGCTCTCGCTGAACCCTGGCTACTATACCGTCCACATGGTCAAGATAGTCATGCAAAATGACCAGCCAGAAGCATGTTGAAAAATGACCACACCTAAAATCAGAAGTGAAAGTAAATCTGGGTTCTTCAAGTAATAGTTATTTAACATGAAAATTAAGTCAACCAAAATAGCTGAAAAAGATTTTGTAACAACAGCAAGGAAAAATAAAATACAGGGTAAATAGCCATTTAGGATAATTTAATAATGAAGAAATGAGAAAAAACAAAATAACAGGCAAGTTTAAATGGATTTAAGACATAGGATAAAAATTAGTTCAAATGGAAGAAAAGGTCACATCTCAAGATGAAGCAAAAGAAAAGTGGATGCTAGGTTCATGTTATCACATACTTTACACAATAAATTATCACTACCGGTTACAAACACCAATTTATTTTGGTTAATCAATAAAATAATTGCTTACTTTTTTACTTCAGCAATTTCATTTTTAGTTAGCTGTCATAACAGGAAAGGGAATTAAAACAACATGTACTCATAATATTTATATTATTATCATATATTTATATTATAATTATATAAATATCCCCAGCTGGTGATATAATAACATCAAGCTGTCATTGATACTAGGCAGGCAGTGGTGAAATTGTTTTAATGTTAAAAATTAGGTCTTTAAAAAAGGGCTAACTGTTATCGAACAAAGGCAAACTGAAAGAAGCACACTTTATAGAGATGATGTTTAAAATTGTTAACTACTACAAGACATGACAATGAGACAATGAAAACCACTAAAATAAATCTGGCAAAAGAAATCTGACAGAACAAACAGAATTGTCAAAAAGCAAATTAATTTTAATAAATAAATATTACAACAACAATAACACCACCACCACCACCAATAATAATAATTATAGTATAATAATAATAACTTAATGTTTATAAACAAATAATCATAAATTAAAAAATAATAAATGCATAAAAATAAACATAACTGCACATAAATTATATTAAAAAAATTTTTAATTAATACTTTAAATATACATCATGAACTTACTTCAAATAAATAGCAATTGGTACTACCAGTAGAGTTCTCACCCAGGATACTATGTTGGCACTAAACACCACATATTGGTGCTCTCCGAATGTAATGTAACGAGGAATTCGCGACACCACTGGGGACGTGAAACGTTCAATTGGAGTGTAGATATATATATCGTACCACTTCACCTGAAACAATTACATAATACACAGGGCTATGTTTTGAAGTAATTTTTTTTTTTTTAATCACAAATTTCAGTTTCTGCTCTGGGTACAAATATTTTGATTGGAGCCAGAACTTAACTTGTAATTTTCCATTGTACGGTCTAATATATCATCCATGAGACAATGAATTGGGCAGAAATTTCATAAGCATTCTACTTTTGCATTATACATATTTTATTCAAGAAATTAATGTATTATATAACAGCACAAGTACTAGTACTTCATAGTAATGAGTACTGCAAAATCATCACTCTTAACCAAGGACACATTATTAGTTGAAAAAAATTTTGTGAACACGTATCTTTAAAAAATAAAATGAATTTTTGATTCCCCCTTTTCCTATTTGCATTGAGTAATTGACATCTACTTTTGTAACCAGTATGAATTTTAACAATATACACCACTTGAGTAAAATTATTCAGCCTAATGATGAGTGACCCAGTACAAGAATATACCTAAACAATTGTATTTGACAAAAAAAATTCAACTGGTATCATATATATATATTACAGATATTACAAAAAAAAATAATAATAAATAAAAGGATATACATTCAAAGTATCCTGCAAGTAAAGATAGAAACATGAAATAAATTTTGCCCTGTCAACAAGTTCTAGATAAATGTTCTAAAAACAACTATGTCAATATGCATACTGGTACTGCTACTTACCAATACAAAAAGTTGTTTTTCCAGGAACTGTATTGCAGAGACAAAGAGGCTGATGGGAAGCCAGGTTTGACTGCAAAAGGCCATTAAGCAACTGGTTGTTTCTGGGCAGACGAACAGAGACCTGGATTTGTATAAATTAACATTATATATTATAACTTTCAATATCTTCAAGACGACGAAAATGTCATCGAAGCCAAATGTCACACCTCAGTTTATCTAGAAGTACTAGTACTTACCATGGGTTTGTTTTACAAAACAAACTGGTTTGTATTCAATCTTAACAAAAATAAAATTGTGATGTCAATGACCTTTTTCAAATGGCATGCACTGGTTGAACTTAGTAAAATGCTGTTCTTAGGCCAGATATGTAATATATACACTGGTTAATGGTTGCCATTTTTTTTTTTTTTTTTTTTTTTTTGAATGGCAAAAATACATTGGATATTAGCTCAGGAAGTGGGAGATATTTATATATATTCCACGATATTCCTCGCATTCTTCTCATGAACCACATTTCTACAGCTTGCATTGGGTATTAGCTGAGGTAATGGAAGAAGTTTAAAACAGACCCTCAAATAAGCTTTAGGCCATGTTCACAACCAGTTGTTCCGTGGACTAATTAATTCGCGGATCAAATATGGCACACACCTGACCATGGAATTCCCACTTCCCACATACGCAGTCCCTGCAGGGGAGAATCTCTGAATGCTTTCAAATAAGCTGCACCATATTTGATCCGCAGACTAGTTATCAGCAGTCTACAGTTCAGCTGGTTGTGAAAGCAGCCTTAATTATGTTGTTCTTATGCTCAAAATTATGGACCCGACATTTCTGGGCCATCTAAAATAAGACTCAAAAATAAATAAATAAATGAATTTGGTCTATCGACCCTGTTTACAGAGCCAGAGCTCATTAACCCACTTATCAATTTTACCTGGCCTTCTCCTCAACCTGTGACATGTAGTAATGGGCACAATCACAAGTACTAATAATACTAATAGTACTAGTATTTTGAAATCTATTAGGCTAAGTAGAGACCTATTCCTCTCTATATCTTTTGTGACAGCAACTGATATGCATGCCTGATTTTAGCAATGACTACTGAATGATTTTTGAGCCAGGGAAGTGGAACAAATTGATATATATAATAAATATTGTACACATTAGGAGGTTAACATTCTATGATGTGTGACAAAGCATGAGGTTAAATGTACATTAATGTTTCTTTTGCTGATGTGTACAATTACAGATTAAATTCTGTCCAACAAATGCCTAAAATCTTTTATAATGTTAACTTTAACATATAATTTAAAGGTTGAACTGGTCAAATATAGTTTATTTATTTATTTTTTTTTTTCATGCATTCAACCACAGCTCTCTCTCTCTCTCTCTCTCTCTGTATCTTGTCCTTGCAGGACATTGACTATCATGAAACTAAGCAACTTCCTTTCTTCAGATGACTTCAGAACTTGTGAATTTAGTGGTCCAACATGGCCACCAGATTTTGTTTTCATTAAAAAACTAACCTTTTCCCACAATTTCTGTTAAATATGTTTGAGTGCATGGCTTGTCACACCCACCAGTATGTACTTGTGTTACTTGTCCCGGCGCAACTGATTTCTGTAGTCAGGCAACTAAAATTTTAGTCTTATTCCACATTTACTGTTTTAGGATTAAAATAACTCATGGTCATGAATCCAACAATTAAAATGATGACAAAGTCTAGGAGAATCCCTACAAAATTTTGAGATGCTATTAGTTTATTTTTACTGAAATGTATATCTTTAATGTTTCTAAATTTAAAAAAAAAATTGACAAATTTAATGTCTTATTACTACTAGTATTAAAGTAATAGGGATAAATGTCAGGTCTGATGGAATTTTTCATTCGAACCAGAGAATTTTTATTCGGACCAGTAGATTCAAGAAACCGGTGACCTGAATGGCCAGTAAGCTGTTAAGTTTACGGCACCGACTGTCTGCTCCACACCTGCCATCAATGGTTATCCTGCTTCCTACTAGGTACTATATATAATTGAAGCTCTTGACTTGCTTGATGCTGTTGCCCTTTATTTTAACTTCACTGACCAGGCAGGTGCTGCTTTTTCTGTAAACCAAGAACCATACATTCCATTTTCTTGTGAGGCCCATTTTCTGTTTTCACCTCCCACTTTATTCAATAATGTCTGTAGTTTCTCTTGCAATATGTTGCAATGACATCTGTATCATCAGCATGTCTCATATATTTGTGATGTTCCTTCCTCCAACAGTACTATACTATTCCTATTCCGTTTATTTCTATCATAATCATTTACTAGTAACTGCATATACATGTTAAACAGATCAGGGGAAAATAACCTAGGTCTAGATGACCTCAGAACGTATTCATAGGACACATCCATAAGCTAATAAACTCTAGACAAAGCCTTTGCTTCTATTCTTTTGATTTTCCCTGCAACCACTATACCACTGTACAGCATTTCATTGGAATAATTATATTTCTTATGTTTTTACCTGAAAGTACATATGAGCATGGCCCACTCATCTTGGTTTACAATCTTATTATTGAAAGAACATGATACAATTCCTAACTCGGGGGGAGAGGGGGGGGGGAGAGGTAGGGGGTGTTTACATTGATAATTTGATAACTCGAGGAAAGAAACTTGGATTTTACCAGATATCTGCTTAATTATTATAAACTTCACTGAATTCACAAAAATAACAAGAAATATTGTATTTAAAATTCAAGTAAGATATCATATTTCAGTGTACTAGTATTTATACCATGCAAATGTGACTAACTGACTTCAATCCAACCTATTTTTACCAGGTTAATTTCAAGCCTACAAAATGGCATTTGCCAACTGATAATGTACTGGAGTATCTCAATAATTACGTAATCTGCACAGATGATAAATTAATATTCATATCAAGGAATAGTAAGTCTGATATGACTCAATACCGATATACTGTCATCACCAATCATAATATTGACCAATAACAGCATGGACGATTTTTTGGACCAACCGATATCATATACTAATGCATGAAACATATAAAGGGGTATACATGTACTAGTACATGTAGGTCATAGGTTAAGATACTGTTATCATGCTTTGACCAACCTGACTGACATCTCGTGACACTATATCTGGCACATGACGTAATATCATAATATTGGGTGCCTTACATTTTAGTGCTGTCTATATATGTAGGTCTTAAATGAGGACTGTGCATTGCAGGGGAGGATTGAGACCGTCGACTTCTGGGTCTCCCGGGAGATGGTCAGATTGTAAAGTTTTCATTGACGGGTTTATATTTTTTTCTGTAGGAAGACGGTCAAAAATAGCGGATAGATCAATAAAAATAATTTGGAAGACTGTCAGAGAATATCTCTGGATCTGCCCCTGCATTGCAACTGATTGATGTATAAGGCCCCATTCCCATAGACAATATCGGTCTACGTAGATCAATCCAACTCCATGGAGACTCAGTTTCACAGCTTTATTAGAATATGCCTTCTCTTGGTGTTAAGTATTGTTAGAATACAAAAAAGCTGGTGATTATTTGAGTATGTTGGAAACAAGAGAATTAAGTCATGAAGTTCAGTTAAGCTGATTGCACTCAGCGAGAGTCCCAGCAGAATTGGATTGATCTAAGTACAAAGACTGATGGTGCAGGGCTTGACATTAAGGGTGGCCCACTAGCCCTGGGCCACTGAAAACCAATCTAGGGCCATTGAATCGCTGGGGTCACTGGCCCAAAGAGCAAGTAAAATGTCATGTGTCAAATCATCCTTGCATATTTACCGATTGATATCTTGGGCCAGTATCTTGGGCCAAAAAAATTTGGTCATTTCCCACATACACAGACAAGCTTTAAGAACAAAACATAACCTCTCTGGAATAATAATAATAATAATAATAATAATAATAATAATAATAATAATAATAATAATCATGGTTAGTCAATACAAAGATTTAAAAATTTAAATTATGAATTAGAAACATACATAATGCATGCAAACTGCCTGCAGATCAGTATATTACGTAGTTCCAATGCCATATACACAGCATATAGCCATGGCAATCGCTAGGGCGGAAAATCGTTACAGCGTACCTCATTTACCGGGTATGTTTAAAATTTACTTTATGCCTCTCTATCACCCCTGCTGTTCGTTTAAAATATTGACAATGCTCTATCTTCTTCATTTAACACATGCTGTTATGTTTCATTGTCATGTCACTCACCTGATATATATATTATAGCCAGCTATCCCGCACAAATGTGAATTACGGCGTACCCACACATGTGCTGTCAGAGACGTGGGGGATATCTAGGTCAAGGCAGCTGACCTATTTTAAAGCCGTCTCACTGACCGTCAACAGCGGTCACGTGTAACTCGCCGGTCGATCGAACGGCAGCATCTCTTCTACAATGTGTAGAAAAAAATGCAAACTAGATGATTGTGTCAAATGACCACTTAGTATATGATTGTGTTTTGACAGGGAGATGATGTTATGACAATTTGACGTGCTAAAAGTCAATTGTACATCCGTGAAGTCTACTAGACAGGTCAGCTTAACCTACCAGTAAAGGCCATATCTCATTCACAGATTTGTAAAAATGATCAAAAGGAGGGAAAAGATTGAAAATCGTGAAGGGTTAATGTATGCGCCGGGTATCTAAAGAAATACGAAGATATATAACTCAATATCAACACTGTCATTTAAAATAAAGTGTACTATATTTAGACAAACCGACCCCGTCACGACCCCTGTCACGTGAGTAAACAAAGCTCTGCAGGCGAAGTCACGTGCAGTTACCACCTGAGCACGCGTAGGCTTACGGAGGCACGGGGACCCATGGACGTAACTTTTGAAAAATGACACTAAGAAAAAAAGAGCTCATTGAGTAAATGCGATTAAAAAGTAGGTAAAATCAATTTGAAAAAAAGATACGGAGAAAAAAAATACAATTTTTTTCATGTCTTTTGCTCTTTTATTTTATTTAATATGTATATATATTTTACTTATAGCATACTAGTACAAAACACTCTATAGAGATTAGGGGAGATTATAGGTCCAAAATACATCTTGAAATCTCTAAAAAAAATACAATCTCCATTTGAGAAGTTATACAGTTATGCAATGGACTTGAATTTAAACAACATAGCTCCCTGAGAAAAAGAATTATAGTAAATTCCCTAACTTCGATTACAGTAGCAATCCCAGTCACCTCTAACACAATCTCTGGAGCACGGCCACGCGCTTGCTGATCCTGGCTGAGTGAATAGTTTCTTGATCCATCCGAGTTTTATTATAATCACTGTTTAATAGTGATAGGATGTACGTTATATATATTGACAAGATGTACACAATAAAGAGTGTTTAGATTCTTATTTATCATAAGATTGATTTGGCAGTTACATACAGCAGACAGACTAAAAGGCTGAACATTTGACCAAAGAACGAGATATTAAACAGGCAGGCAATTTGAGGCAAATCAATTTTTATAATTTTTATTTATTTAAAAATATGCTTGCCAGGAGTATATTAGAAAGAATAGCATTCTAACAAAATGTAGGTCATCATAAAGCAATGGAAATTGTCATCTCAAGAACTCTGTAAATGACGATATTTCTTTGACACACAATTTTACTGCCTTTATATATATATATCAATTAAGTGCTGCCTTAGTGTACATTTAACCATGTGTCACCAGCATGCTTCGTCAACCAGGTGTCACTGTTGTATTTTGTTTGCCTAGGTGTCACCTCAATCATGTCTAGTCTGCATTCATCTCAGCACCATGTGATATATATTTTAGTAGATGAAATCATAAAATTTTAAAACATGCCTTCTAAAAGTACCTAGAGACTGAAAGTACCACAGAAGGTACATGCATAAATAAAACATATATACCATTCAAAATCAACTGAGGTTCCTTTAAAATTTTTCCCTAATTTCACTTTTCCATACCTTTTCCTATACACAGTATACTGGTATGTGTACATATACAGAGTGCTGAGTATAGCAATTAACCTGACCAGAGTGACTTTTCCACAATAAGAACACCAAAAATACTGACTCTTGCTCGTTTTGCAGTCGATGCAACACATGCAAAATGGTGCTTTATGATCAACTCCCGTTCTTATAAGTAAAGTTGGTAAATGTTAAGGTGTCTCGAGATCTTTTCAACTATAATATCCAGTGTAGACAACGCATTGGCACTCTCAGCTCGCGTTAAATAATCTTAAATGCAGTCCTCCATTGACAAATGTATCTGTAGCTGGTGTGGGAGTGGCAGAGAGTAGATTTTGTCCCTCAATTTCTTACTTCCGAGGGCAGTTCTTATGCTCAAACAACATGAATGCTTCAGAGTGTGTGGGTTTTTTACCTTTTCTTCAAACCACTGAACAAATGACTTGAAATTTTCAGGGTCTTCAACCATTGTTATGTCCGCTAAGTGAAGTGTAGATACAATTTGATGGGCCTCTATAGTGTGGACACCGTACCCCCAAATTACCAACATCCGCAGTATCTTCACCAACATCTGCGCATCGGGCTCAACATGTAGCTGCCATAGTAGAGTCCTGAACAGAGATGGCTGGTTAGACACCCTTTTGTCATTCAAAACCGTGTTTTCTTTAGTAGAAATGAGACCGCCTCCTTTAATCACTTCCCACGCGCAGTCCATTTGTACAGACTCCCAGCAGCAATGATGGATGGGCCGATTCCCTTGGTCGTCCATTAACGAGGTGTCTGCCCCATACTGGATAAGCATCTTGACCAGGCTGGCTTGATCTCGATCTATGGCCCAGTACAGACATGACCTGTATACATCAAAGTGAAGAACATTATAGATTGTCTGGCCCATAGCCAGCAATTTCAAAAGGGGTTTTTTTTTTTTTTTTTTTTTTTTTT